AAAAAAAAAAAAAAAAAAAGAAATCCGCAATTACGATCGAACGATCTCTCATTTAAACGAACGAGCAAAGCTCGTTTCTTCGAAGGAGAAACGCGCGATCGCGACGGCCAAACCGAAAACTAGATCACTGAATTAAAAGGTTAATTCGCAGGAATAGGAATTTTTCTTGGAATTTCTCATGCCCCGCTTGTTAATTAATTACACGGCCAATCTATTACCATCCCCCTCCTTAATTGCATCGCGATTGCCCAAGCTAATTTATTCGCGAAACGAATTCGTGTGAACCCGTGAGAACCCGACCGGTGTAACGCGATGCTTTCGAGACGTCTGCTCTTTGTTTTACGATCGCGATAGGTGTAACTTGTTATTATTGTGGAATAGCGATAGTTCGGCGTGGATGAATAATCGAGGGACGAGTGAATGTTTATTATGGCGTAGTAGTGAATGACGAGAGATAAGCGTGGTATCGCGTGGAAATTTATGTTGTTTATGTCGTGATTTTGATCGGCAGGATTTCTCCACATTTTTAGTATAAGCTCGAATTCTTCAAAAATTCGTTAGAACGAATTCACTCAATTTTAGCAGAAAGTTCATTGGAGCTCGAAATCGCAATTTGCACGAAATTTTCGAAGTTTTCGTTAAGAATAGGCGTAGACATTTGAGCAGCGACGTGCATCGAAATGAACGTTATCTTAAAGCGATGTTACGTTTACAATTATCCTTCTCAATTTCGTGCTGCCGAATTTTATTTTTTCCTTTTCATCGTAACGGAGAATTTTCTGATATCTTCCTTTGATTTGTCTAATATCTTACACGTGGATCTTGCAATTTTATAAAATTTGGTTCTCCACCGTACAAGCGAATAACAATTGAAACGATTAACGTTCAAACACTAAAATTAAAGAAACTGATCAGGATAATTCTAATCTCTTAAGCTGGAAATTAAAATTTCACTTGTTACCAAAGCCCGTGTTACACAATTTGTGTCGAACTACAATTTCCAGTGGCGTTAGATATACGGCCGAATGCTGAAAAACCGCTAATTAAAAAATAACCTCGACAATCCACTGCACGACTGGAGAAACATTCAACAAGATCACTTTCGATCGATCGGGTCTGCTTGCACGTGCACACGCGTGCCTATCTACGAGAGTCGCCTGGTGCATGCGCCACCGATCGAAGTGTATCGGTTCTTGAATGAAAGAAGGATTCGAACGACTGAATGAACCGAGGCACACACACAGTACCTCGAGTATACATCGAGGCAACATGCGTGGAACGAGCGACCGCGCGGCGTGTAGGAGCGAGCGTGGGCGAGTTCTCGCGTACGAATACGCCGCGAGTTCGAGTATCCGCACGTTGCCCCGCTGCCACGTCCTCTCGAGGTAAACTTTTCTCTCGAGCCGTAAACTTGTGGAATAGCGTACGCTTTTGGTGGTCCTCGGCATACACTTTACGATCCTCCAAGCGGCGTAATTAATTGGAAATCGAGACTATCAAGTCGATATCTAATGGGAGATATAAAAATCTGCACGACCGAGGTGTCATACGAACGGCCGGAGCCAATCTGTTTCCGGTCAGGAAGACAGTAGGCGTACGTCTGCGTGTTTTGAAATTGCAGTTAGCCGGGTTGGAATTCGTTTGGTCAAACAATAGAAGCTACAAAGAATTAAAACCACAAAATAATTTTGAACTTATGTTAGATTATAAAAATGTCTTACTTTCATCGGAAGACGCGAGTAACTCGTATAAATCCAAGCACGATGAACGTTGGCCATTTTAATATTTAAAAGGAACTAGGATTAAGCCCGGCAGATCATTAACTCTCGACAGTGCAAACCAGAAATCAGATAGAGATTACTACAATTCTACTAATCGTTCTCACAAAATGTCCACCCGCTCACGAGGTAAATACGTGTCCAATTGAGGCACTGCACGCTCGATTCGAGCATCCTTGCACTTGAGATCTGCACGAGGCGTGTCACAAGAATATTTTACAATTGCCTTCTGCCAAATGTGGCAACAAACTGTTTTGTTTCATTTTATTTCTTACTACAATGTCCAATAGCAATGTTCAAGATCTCGTAATCAATCTTTGAAAATATTCAGATTAGATAAAACGAATGTTATTTCCAAAGCTCGGATATCAAAATGTACGGTTCATTCACATACACTTTCTAACGTCTTCCATGCGTTATGCATTGAAAGTCTTATCGTCATAAGAGAAACATTCGATACTGCCAAACAAACATCCAGGCTCCGATCAACTTGAGATATCACGTGTTGTTTGGATCGTTCTGTCTCCTCCCCTCAGAGTCTCATATCAAACAGGTGTACCTGATCTGATGTCAATTCGTAGATCGTTGACGCGCGTGTCGCGGCCGCAGCCATTGAAAAGCGGGCACGCACTTCATCGTGCATTGTGTTGCAAATGAGGCTTGTCGATGGAGTAGCCGTGAAAGTCTTGTTCTCAAGGGCCGACCGACGAACGAGTTTTCACGAGTGCACGAACAACTGAAGCACACTGGAAGAAACGTCAAGCGTAATAACATAGTGCGCGGATTTACGAGTAACAACGTAATGTGCAGGTCTAGGTTGTCTACTTCAATTAACTGAAAAAAAAAAAAGAAAGAAACAGAACAAATGCGACATCACAGAATATAGGGAGACTGCGAGAGCTTGCTTGAGACAACTAGACTAGATTGACTGTAATGTAAGAAAACTCGGATCAATGCCTACAAATTGACAAGGATTCGATTGACTCGATCGCGGATATCGTCGTTGAAATTAAGAAAAATTCCTTTGAAATTTATTCTTTGCGATTTCTAGGAAAAATCGTTGGAAGCAATTGTGAGGATGCTTCCTGCGCGAAAAGTTGGCCCAGTCTATATGTTGAATATCAAACAGTGCAACAGCTTCTCTTAATTAATTCAGTTTTTAACGAATCTTCATTCATAGCTCTTAAAACTTCTATCTACTGAGTTACACTGTAGCCTAAACTTCGTATGAGTCGTCCTAAGGTACTTTGACCAGGAATCAAACCTAACCAATAGAAAAAGATATATCAGCCCACAGACAGAGATAGTTTAGTACTGCAGCAAGCACAAGCTATTATAATAATATTTTTATATCTACAAGTTCCGGGCTGGAAGTGCCCTCTTAAGTTTAAATAGATAGTTCTGTGAAGTATAATTGAACCTGCTCACTGTGTCGTTACCCTAAGTAAAATCGTCATAGCGTGAAACTCGA